GTACAAAGTCAGAACAATCTGGAACAACTTTCAAAATTATAAATTTCAAAAAGTGGGGTGCCAACTTCATACACTCGCGTTATTCTCCGACTCGCGCAAACGACCCGAGATCCGCGAGCGACCGGCGCCGTCGGATATTTCCACACTGTCGCGATTTTACAAAGATATCAACTGTTTACTGAGATCTCGCGTATCAGGACCACCGGTCTCATTTGCATCGAGTGCTTATCAGCTGCGCAAACTCGTACAGGTGCATCGTAGCATTATCGATAGATGAAGGTGAAAGGTGTGATGGATGCACGTGCGCACACACGTATAATACATATATATGTATAACAGCTCGTTAGACGTTAAGTAAACAGCATAAAAACGCGCGTTACACTCGCACGTCTAATCCTGAGAGCTGACAGGTGATGTTCCACGCGTATTCGAAGCGGTTATCATCGGCTGGCTGACTGCCTGCGCGCTTCTCATCGAGAACGCAGGTTCCGCTTTCCCGGTGCACAATTTCCGCTTGATATAATACGATCCTCATCCATTCACCTGTTTCTTGTTTTAGTGAGAAGGACAGCGATTGTCGAGTCGATCACATTCGACGCGTTTGCTTCTGCGACTCATCTTCTCTTAAAAAAATTTGCAAAGATTAATTAAGTTGAGCAATTAAAATTCACATTTCCCCGGTATTCAATATCTTCGAATATTTCTTCTCGGGTAAGGACAGGTGAGAAAGTTGATGAGAGAAAATGAGAGAGAGAGAGAGAGAGAGAACTTTTTTCCCGATTTCGGACAATAAGCGAGAAATACACGCGCGCAGCTAATGGCACACGTGTCAAATTTCTAAACGGGAGATCCGGAGAGCAGACATACATGCGAGTCGCGGGTGCGCGCGAATGCGAGTTGAGTACCCCTTTGTTACGAGCGACAATGAATCGTGTCAGGTGTGTCAAATCACACAGATGCGAATCGCTACGACAACCGCACGTCGTCGGTGGCTGTTATTTCTCCGGCCTATATAAGCCGAAGATTAGACGCGGAATAGAAACAATAGGCGTATAAGTTATAGGGGCTCTCTCTTTCTCTCCGCCTAACTGTCCAGTGTTCATCGAAGCGCGTGCCGCGATAGCGCCACATTGTTTCGCGGTTCATCGCATTGTTCCACGCTCGCGTACGCACAGCGAAGTTTTCTCCGTTGTCCCGCGGATTGGCAGAAATCGACAAGAGTGCATTTCGCGACGTACAAATTAATAAATTCGAGATACGAGACGATTGTCACAGCTGGTGATGTAACGACGACTCCTTCACGCTCGCGAAACTTTAACGAGATGTGGAAGAAATCCGATGTATGCGGCGTCTGCCGTTCGAGAAAATAATAACGTGGCGAAAGATGGATGAGAATAAGAGAGGCACCACCAACATGCCGTATCCACGATGGACCACCACGAAATCTTGGCGTCCTGTCACGATCAACGTTCAGTAGGTGGATTCTCCCTCATTGAATTGTCACGTTGAATATCTTTCTGTCATCTTTTTGTCCTGTTGTATGTTAACATCTTCCGAATATTGTAATCTGTCATACATGTTATATAGTTTCATGTTATATGGTTTTATGTCACATAATTTCATGTTATATAGTTTCTTTTTCATGTATATGAAAAATATATATTCTCATTATATGTGAGAATGTTATATAATTTCTTTTTTATATAAATTCTTATTAATTTTACGTTTTTGATAGCTCAAGAATAAATTGTCAATAAGGTCTAACATCTATTAACATCTTACTAAGGAACATAATAAATTCCGCTAGAAACACAGCAGATTTCGCTGGAAGCTGGATTTAACAAGTTTTAATAGTACATTTTACAGTTCCTAAAATATAAGTAGCACATATAAGACAAAAGGATAGCGAGTTATTGCGGAATCGATCTATTGTTCTATCATAAAGTCTCCTACAATAATTTTTATTGTAAAATTCCCTCCGTGTACCCGAATAGACGAGGATCTTTCAAGCTAGAGTCTACAAAGAGTTCTATGTGCGTTTTGACAATGCGACAGTTGAACAGTATTTAATTCGCGCGCTTTTGTTTAAAGTTAATTGAGAACGTTTCGGACCGATCTAGTCCATCACCTTAACGAGCATACACTCCGCATAATAAAAATCGATTTATCAATAGCATTCTCAAATAACCGCCTCCTCCAACAAGGACGATCGAGCGCAAACACTTTAATTTAATGACGGAATGTTCTCCGGCAATTCAATGGCTTTTCGCGGGATTCGCGCCGGAATTAGCAGTGACCAGTATTTCTTCTTGTTCGGCGAACACATATTGATGTCACGAATATTTAATTATATTACGTGAGATCTATACATAATACCGCGTCTCTCTCAATATCAGCATCATTAAACAGATTTTATTTATATTTTTGAAATATCTTGCGGAGTGAAATATAAATTTATGAAATTATCGATTCATAAAGTTCACAAAGAAGCATTTGTTACATTTTGTCGTAAGCAATTAAATAGCATTCTCTCAAGTTTTTGCAGCTTTTGCGTGTCGTGATTTCTCTCTCTATCTCTTTTTTTTCCAATCGTTAGCCGACTTTCAAAGACCGAGCTGGTCGATCGGCAAAATGTGACATCAATTATTTAAACGTATCTCGACCATGCGAGCATTTCACGCTTATTTTCATTTCGTGAAAAATAAATGAGCGTTCGCGACGATTACTGCGACTTACTTCGTATTCATTGCGACAATGCAATATCTTCTGATGATTTAGAACGAGGGGTGTTCTGTTTCGTCTCGTAATACTCTTTCTTTCCCTCTTCGTAATATTTGAGTGACGTGGATATAACTGACAAGAGAAAGTTTTTGGTAACTTGCGACGAATTCGCGCGAGAACTTTGTGCCGCCGTACGTCGCGTGACTTTTGCGAATGCCAAAACTGTGTAAACGTCACGTAGTCCTTGAACTTATAACTAACGCTCGTTACGGCTGTAAAAGCGCTTTTAGAAGATAAAAATTCACAATTCTCTCGGATCAAATCTTTGAAATTTTGCGAAATTGCGGGGAGAGATAGTTAACCACCGCCTCTCGTGCAGCGATTCGCAGTAAGACAACGTGACATCATTATCACGGAGAAAATGAAGTAAATCTTTCTCCAAATTCTCTAGAATCGCGAAGATCATCTCTCGTCGTTAATCCAACTTTCCACCAGCGTGCATCGTGCGTTGACGTCAGATTCTCCTCTCGCGGGTAGCGCGCGTCTCTCCCTCTTCGTAAAGACGCGCGCGCGAGTACTTCGCGCCTCGTCGTCGAGGACGAGGCCTCCAGCAACAGCCAGGAGTTTCCACTGGCTGTCCGAAGTGGACGTTTATTGGGTCTTCGATGTTTATAAAGCGCCCGCTGCCCTCGCCACCTCGTCGCACGATAAAACTCGGAAATAACGAGTTCTGTCTTCTGTCCGTCATGAGATCGTGTAGCGTGCACACCGTCAGCCGCAGCGCGCCTCTCACAAGGTGCGTTGTTTCCGTATAGCGAGTGTTAGAGTAAAAGATTGGAATCTCGGAATTGAGAGAAAGACTCAACCGTTCTCGCTTATCCCGCCTGCAACGCAAACGGATTCAAATTCCGTGGACTAGGAAAATCTTCAATTTCGCGGAATCACATTCATCACTGACTCCACGCGTGATTCATTTGTTACCCCCAAACACGACTTTAGCTGCGTTCGGGGAGACGATATTTGGCGCTAAAAGCATGTTATGATCTTATTCAATTTTTAGTAAGTAACAAGGACAGAACACGCTTTTAGCGCCAAATAGTGCCTCCACGAACGCAGCTTTTGAATGTCGATTGTAATTCATCTTCGCGCGGGCAACCTCGACAGGACTCGCGGGTTTCGATAGATACGTAAAAGGAAGTCCCGACACAGGAAAAGCATGAAAGTAAGAGTACCATCCTTTTTGCAGATCGCCCAAGAGCAACTTGCGCAGAATCAATCCCATGAAGAACGACCTGGTGGTACCCGAGAGTAAGTTTCGGTGTTCCGTCGACATCGTCCGTGGTTTCTAATCGATGTCTTCGCACGCTATTGTTTGTGTGATCTCGTGTTTTAAGAGTCCCGACGATTTTCAGTGTCGGCACCCGTCATTCCCCCTTCGGAGACATTCGACCCTTCCACCGATAGTTTTCACTCAGCCATGAGGCCGATCATCATGCTGGCTCAATGCTTCTCCATGCTTCCCGTGTGCGGTGTCAATAAGCTGGATGCTTCGTACCTTCGGTAGTGAGCCTCGCTAACGTTGAATAATTGGGTTTATGTTAAGGCTGGTGTACAACCTCTGTGTGAACCACGATGTTAAATCCCTTGGGCCATTGAACAATATTTAACTCTAGAACACCACACTTCTTTCGAGTTTCGATTTTACTACCTTGAATGCACAGTGCACTTAGCTACTTTCAATTAGGGATGGGCAAAAAGAACCGATGTTTTCTGAATATCGATTCTTTTTGCCCATCCCTACTTTCAACTATCAATATTTCCTCAGAAGGTGGATATTTTTATTATATTTTTTTTCAGTTTCAACTCCAAAACGTGTTGGGAATACGTCTATATCATTAATTACGATTGAAGTTTAATGAAAAAATGAATTTTGTAGAAAAGATCGAATAGAAAATTCTTTATAATCACAAGAGGCTATTTACTAAAAAATTTATAGTTTTCTTGTAACGCCGTATTATATAAAACCAACTGCTATTTATTAAAGGTGGAGGATATGACTTTTCAGAGAAAAATGTGAAACAATGATTTCAAAAGAATATGGCTTTAATTTGAAGAATTTTAACGTCAAGACGTTGATTTCAACGGTATCTTTTATATCTGCTAAATAGCAGGACTATATAGCATGTTACATGGACAGTTGTAGAGGGAGGATAGAAGTGTTTTTTTCCTCTAATCCCGATCCCTTATTTTTTACTGTATTAAAACCGCGGGCGTGGTGTTCTAGGGTTAATTCTCGAGTATTTCTCGAAAAATTAATTAAATTACTACCGTGAAGCGTAATTGGATAACGATATAATCAAATAGACCACTCTGCAATCGATAATTACTGGTAATTAATGGTTTATCATATGCACGCATGATTTTAGGAATCTCGTTGGAAACGGTGTTCAAAGCCGCATCATTCGTGCAGTTAATATTCCAATCGAAGAATTTCGCGCAACCTTGACCGATCTGAGTAAAATAGGAAAAGCTTAAAGAGGACTGATCTGAATTTAATTTTCTCGATCCCCTTTTGAAGTATTTTGATTAGAACTTCGCAGATCTTACGAGCGTTAAATGCTCCGCAGATTCACCTGGCGAAGTCTGAAGATTCTGTACTCGGCGGCCGTTCTCCTGGGCGTGTTCAGTATGACAGTTTTCAACGTCTTGTGGATATTTGCTACCGGAATAAACTCCACTAAAATGAGTAAGTTAGTTGGGAGAAGATCGGCTACAGCTTTGTTTCAAAGCTATTTACGTAGAACGCGATCACGATTATCTATCCCGATTCGCAGCGGCTTTTGTTTTCTACGCCACTTCCTTGGTGACCGCGGTCTTGTTCTTACGACTAGCGAGGCAGTGGCCCTGTCTGGCTCTAACCTGGGAGAAACTGGAACGCGAATTCACTTCTAGGCACCGGAGGATCTCGAGGACCACTCTCGCGACTCGCTTCAAGATCGTCACCGCCATTGTCATGTTGCTCGCGTTAGGTAGGTGTCGTTTCGAGCGTGATTAGCGATTAGATCTCTCGATAAATTAATGAAGAAAAAAGGAAAAAAGACAATATGAGCTTAATTTGCGGTCGTGCTAATCGTTTATTTGTTTTACAAAATTTAATTTCTGTAAAAAACAGAACGTATCGATCAGTTTTTGTGGATAATTACAAAAAAATGGTTGAAACGTTCCATTTTTTTTTTATTAAATTTTGTTAAACAAATAAACGATTAGCGCACAACAACCGCAAATTAGGCTCATATTGTCCTTTTTCCATTTATCTTCATTGGTTTTAATCTAAAAGCTCCCGTTTTTATTTATTGAGTTTTCTCTCAATAAAGCCACTTTGATGATCTTGCGTCTAAGTAACATAAGATTACAGTAAGGAAGTCAAAATGAGATTGTGAAATTATGATATTCATCATTGTGCCCCTTTGATTTTCTCATTGTCTCCACACAGTGGAGCACGGTTTCGCCGTGCTTTCCGGCTATATCGGCGCGGTGGAGTGCGCAACGCTTCACGGGAACGCAGACATTGTCGATACTTACTTCCAATCGCAATTTCCGCAGGTAAAACACATCGAGCACGGAGAGAATATTAGTTCCTTTTCAATTTTATTATAATTTTAATAGTCCAAGAATAGATTGTCAGTAAGGTCCATCTTGCTGAGAAACATAGCAAATTCCGCTGGAAATATAATACATTTTTAGTAGCACATTTTTCAGTTTCTAAAATATAAGCAGCACATATACAGCACATTACATTCTAAAATATAAGCAGACAAAAGGATAGTCAGTTACAACAGAATATCGATCTATTTTTCGACTACAAAATATAGAAATTTTTATTATAAAATTCTTCCCGTGTAAATTTATTTAATTTTATTCTCCTAATTCAATACATTATGCTATTTTTTAAATATATTTTTAATATGTATCTAATTTAATATTTATATATTAACTGAATATTTTGCACTAATTTAATCTGTCGCTAAACTTTACATAGCTTAAAATTATTTTCAAATTATATAATTATTTTAAATATGCTTCAAACACAACGAAATATCAATTGTTATCAATTGTTCGTTCGTCTTCACCAACAGGTGTTTACGAAAATGTCATACAGTCTCTGGAAGGGAATCCTGGTGGACGTCATAAATATCCTGAGTACCTTCTCGTGGAACTTTGTTGACCTGTTTCTCATTCTTATCAGCATCGCTCTGACGGATCAGTTCAGACAACTGAACAGCCGCCTGAATTCGATAAGAGGAAAGGTAAAGTAGACGAAATCCAATAAAAATACCTTCTCGTCCCTTACACGATTCGGGATCATTAATATTTGTCATATCCTTCGCGCGTTTGAAATTCCGTGTACACTTCAATAATTAATCCAAACTTAGTATATCTATTCAAAAGAAAGAAAAATTGTACAGATTCGTCGAGAAAGATATTCTCGATTAGACGAGTTAATATTATATAATCGCATTAACCATAGAGTGTCCCAGAGCTATCTTTTATACGTGAATTGTCACTCCACCGAGTCGATATTTAAAGCATATTCGAAAGATATTCGGAAATATCGACGAAGAATTCGAAGTAAATGAAATACAATTCGCTGAGGTACCCTGCGAAAATGTCAGGTCCTCCGAACCGGATTCCTAATGGTGACTTGTGATTTTTGCTCTTACTAACAAAGTCATCACCCTTAACATCATTTCGTTGTTAAGGCGATGCCGGAGTGGTGGTGGGCTGAAGCCAGGAACGACTACAATCACCTGGCGACCCTAACGCGGAAAGTGGACTCTCACATCTCGAGCATCGTCCTTCTGTCTTTCGCCACCAACCTATATTTCATCTGTATTCAACTGCTGTTCTCCTTCAAGTATATCTTACTCACATGACAATATGATAAACACGTTCTTGCTTTGGCTTAACTTCAACTAAACGCGATACTCACGATCTTACGTGTTATTGTCGTAGCCGTCTTTAACGTTTAAAGTTTATACCTCGCGAGTCATATTAGATTTGTGACGTCAAAAGCGAGGATGTCAGAAGCTGACGAAAGTTGTGTCTTATTTCTGAATAAAAATAAATATGAATGAAAGAGCAAATATGAAAGAACAAATATGAATGAAATATGAATGAATTTGAGATTGCTTGAACTTATAAAATTGTCCGGAAGGTATCCTTTTCCTCTGATGATCAATAAATAGTTGTATAATAAATAATGAAATGAGTTTGCTTTGTCTGCATGTCTCACCACTTATTATACGACTATTTATTAATTGTCAGGAGTAAGGGATACTTTTCGAACAATTGTACAAGTATGCTTAAGCAGAGTTTCAAGTGCTTTTTCGTCCATATTTATCTTTATTTAGAAATAGCACGCAGCTTTCGTCAGTATGTCGTTCCTTATTTCTGACATTACAAATTCAACATGGCCGCGGCGAGGTATAAGAAACTTTAACTTCCACGTGTTACCTCTCGCTGGGAGAAACGCATTAATCTCGTTCAGCTATCCGTTTAAATGAAGATATTCGAGTAAAAAATACATTTAAATATTTCTCCTTTGAAAAGGAGAAATATTCTCCTTTGATCGCACGTTATAAGATCCCGTAAACTGTTTGACGCGAAATCGTCGTCGTCTTCTCAAAAGAGCGATTTTAATTTTCTTTCTCTTATTTATATAAAATAGCAAATTCTTCAAATACATGTCGATTCTCTTCGACATTGTTTTGTAAACGTAAAATTGTCCATCTGTGTTCTTATTTGTATCTTCAAATTCCGCTATATTGCTTTCACGTTAATGTTAATTTCGCCTGAACGGGAGGCAACCTTGAATAAAAAATGAAACGTAGCACAAACAACAAAAGAATCTTTCGGTGGACTCACGTAAAGACCTGCGTCTAATTTTCTCAAATAGTCCGATACGCGGTATCGTGCGAAAGATCTACTTGTGCTTCTCCTTCGGCTTCCTGCTGGCGAGGACAACGGCGGTGTCTTTGTACGCCGCTTCTGTTCACGACGAGTCACTCTTACCAGCACCAATTTTATACAGCGTCTCCAGTTCTAGTTACGGAAACGAGGTTCGTCGTTTATATACCCTACCTGTGTCGTCTTCGACCTTTAAACCATAACCGACAAGTCACTCCGTGGGATCGTTACAAGACAACGTATAATATTCTCCGTGAAATGTTCCTTCTTTTCGAAGCTTCTTATTAACGAAGCAAACAAGCAAGCAACAAAGAAATTCATTTTTTTCTGTAACAAGAAGGTCCCTCTATTGTAATTGGAAAGATTATAGGTGTCTAAGGTCCATATTATATTAATAGTTATAATTTGAAACTCGTTTCAGGTGAGATTTGAATTCAGAATTAGATAAAGATTTTTCAGCTGAATCACCACTATAGATGGAAATGTCATATTGATCATAATTTAACTGAAAAACTTGGATCTAACTCTGAAAAAAAATCCGAGTATCTCAGAGACAAGTTTCAAATAATGACTATCAATACAGTTCTAAGGTCTGAATTAATAGTCGTTACTTGAAACTTGTCTCGCATGGTGAGATATTCAGAGAATACCTATTCTATTCTATATCTATTCTAATATCTATAATTCTATTCTAATATCTATTCTATTGAATTCAGAGTAAGATCTGAGTTACTCAGTTGAAACACACGATATACGTGATATCATAGTTGCAATCGCGATTCTGCTAAAAAACTCACATCTAACTCTAAACTGAAATATGAGTATCTCACTTGAGGCAAGTCCCAAGTAACGACTATTAATACAGAACTGAGTGTCGGTTATGGAAGAAAATAATGGCCCATTACTTAATCCCGATCGCTCTTTTACTCTCACATAAGCTTGCACAACGTTGCACAGGTCTCGAGATTCTTGACGCAAGTAATGACGGATAATATAAGCTTAACGGGGATGAAGTTTTTCTCCGTGACGAGAAGCCTCGTGTTAACCGTAAGTATGAATAGAGAGTGCACTCTGAATGAAGTTAAATGCAGTCCGTGCCGGAACATTATTTAGCTCGTGTCCAAAAATCACTCGTATTCTCTCGTCTGAAAGCTCTTCTTGTTCCCTCGCGTTGTACTTTTCATTGTGTTTTATTCTCGGGGAAAAGATTTTGAGAATACACTTACTGTTTGACGCAGCACGCCGTTAGAGTCGATTCAACCGCAAGAGAAACAACATGCAAAAGTCACTGATGGTCGTCGAGACAATCCGGATCGATCGTAGGCGATAATTGTGTGAAACATTGTTTAACATTTCTCGATTGCTAATGACGATCTAGGTTGCTGGAACCATTGTGACTTACGAACTGGTTCTGGTGCAGTTCAACTCCGCCCAGCAAATGGACCAGTCGAATATTACGAACTCTTGCGAGGTGAGGTGGAAAGAGAGCTTGTGAAAAGGCTTTTAGGGGAACTTCAACCACATCTTATATTCTCGCTTCTGCATCTACAATCACGAGTTTTGAAGAATGTTATGCAATAGTGTATTTTATAGTATCTTGTACATATATAGTACAATCACTGCTCTTTTGTATACTGACACTCTTCACAGTTTTGTACTTTTATATTTATTTATTTATTTATTTACATGATCGTTTCTCACTGGAGCGCTTCACGTTTGACTGCCAATTAAAACAGCTGAGTAGGGATTAATTCGGCCGTGTCACGTGTGTTCTGCGTGTTTCACGAGGGACTGTGAGTTTTATGAAATTTTTTACGTTTTTCCTTTCTCTCCCTATCTCTGTACACATAACATTTGGTTCTCGTTTACGAGTTGTTGTAACATAATTCCAGAGTGTGCCTACTTTGAGATTTACCGATTCGTCTGGTTTTTATTGTTTCATTCGAGCGACTGCGCGTAAATATAGCACAAATGGTCTCTACTTTATAATAAATTGTTATCTCAAATAAATCCTAAGACGCACCACATCACATTTATATTATATTTTAATACGATAACTTTCCGACTACCCTCAATTGCCACACGAATTTTACACATTCACGAAATACACCTCGTATCTCTCTCGTTGTGCAGCCCCGCGATTTTCTCACACACGTCAAACAGAAATGTGCCTTCTCCGCACTAGCGTACGCGTTTTTAGGATTTCTGGTCTGCCTAATGCACTTTATCAATCTACCCTACCAGTAGGAAAGCCCACCGTGAGTGACTTTATGAATTCTCTCGCATCCACTCTCTGTTCACATATATACGATGAAATTTTCTGCTGAATTACGCAAACTGTTGCCTCCTGTTGTCACGCTTCTTCTGGCAATATTTATCTACAATCTTACTCGAGATAAATATGAGAATTGTTGACATCTTCAAATAAGATCTCTCCATGTCCCATGCGTAAATACGTAATCTCTAGTTTTATTTTCGCAAAAGTGCATCGCATTTCTCGCATTCAGATTCTTACGCTTCCATGATTTCATTTCTTAATACATGTTTTGTTGTAGTCCCTGCATTAACTAACCCAAAGTACGTTCTGGAAAGAAAGAACGAGAAGGACGTGTATCGTCGGCATTTAATGATCGTATTGCGAAATGATAACGCACACTTAGACGTGCATCTAGACGCAGAGAACATACCATCGTCTATAGGCATGAGTCGAGGGAGCACACACACACGCACACACACACACACACATAAGTGTACTTTATAAGGTGTCTCGATGTATTTCCATAAACTCTGGCAGCAACAACTTATGTATAATTACTCTCATTCTCCTATAATTTGCATCACGTTCCATGATGATTTTGATGGCTTCGCAGAAGAGACGTGTCTCAATATAAAACTACGTGCTCTCGACGAGAGATGTCATTTATTAAAAAGAAAAACTTGTACAAAGTATTAATCGAAAATCCGTTCACGCAGAAATAATCACAGATAGAAATATTCCGTTATAAAGCTCGAGAGGCATATTTGTGAATATAAATACTGAATAAAAATGCGTGGATCATATATGCGGGTGTATGCGGAAATAGTCTATATTATATTTATATCCGAAATAGTCGGAGGCTTGCTACTTTTCAATAAAATGCATTGAAATTGTTAAAATAGTTTATAATTAGTAATTAGTAAGATATGCGCGAAATATACGTGATGGCTTCACAGAAGAGACGTGTCTCAATATAAGACTACGTGCTCTCGACGAGAGATGTCATTTATTAAAAAGAAAAATTTGTACAAAGTATTAATCGAAAATCCGTTCACGCAGAAATAATCACAGGTAGAGATATTCCGTTATAAAGCCCGAGAAGTATATTTATTTGTGAACATAAATACTGAATAAAAATGCGTGGATCATATATGCGAGTGTACGGAAATAGTCTATATTATATTTATATCCGAACTAGCCTGAGGCTGTAATAAATCTTCAGCAAATAATTTTGTTTTATTCGTAGATTATTTCTCAATATTTTATCAATTTTTATCGTATTCATGTTTTATTTCAATTTGCTTTAACTTTATTCGTTTCTTTAATAAGTTAACAAACATACAAATACTTATGTTATTTCTTGCTTACACAAATATTTCGTTTCGACGATGTTGCGCTGTTGTGTATTCACTTGTTCATTGAGACGTTGAACTGTAGCAGCACGACTTCGTACGTTACAACTGCACCGGCCACCTGTAAGTTAACTTACTGTCAGTTTAAGTGTCCAATGATTTCCGTGCAAACAGGAACAGTACATTTACAATAGTAACAGTAACAGTAGTAACAGTAGATATCGAGATATCGCACAGTAAATTACGAAATAACTTCGCCTCGTCACTTCGATCGTGCACTTATCGTGTCATGTGGAAACGTTCTTACCGCTAACATGAAATTCCGCGTGATGGAGAAGAAGCGCATTCCCGTGAGCGCGACATCGTCAGTGGTGAGTTGCAACATCAGCCTTTCGGTCTGCAAACAATTGTCGCGCGGATTTTCCCCGTTATGCGTAAAAAGGCAGCGTGAGTAATTTCTTTATAATGTAAAAAAGAAAGAGAAAGAGGAGAACCAATTTTAGGAGTATGACCCGTGCAGTTTCTCTCGCTTTCAGATCTTTAATTATTACCTCTACGTTGTAGGCGGACGCCGGGCAGGTGTACAATGCCGGCAATGCCACTTTGCTCTGATCGTTGATCCTAGAGGCGAACAAAGTGACGACCACCGTCCTGCCGATCAGGAACGCGAACGACCCGAAGAAATAGATATCGCTGATGAGGTTGTTGTCCTCCGGCTGACTGTAAGGAATGAGCGAAACGAGATCGAAAACAACATTTGGATTTATTTATTATTAAACAAAAAGTATTCAGAAATCATACATCCACAATTGTAATTAAAGATGATGATCTAATGTAAAAATTAATAACAATGTTAATCCTTATGTGCACATTTCAGTACAATTACACAATCAGCACACTGGAGTCTTTCGCGACCCCAGCTACAAAAATGTTTGCTGCAATAAAATTATTCGTTTTTTTGATTTGAAAAAATTCCAGAATATATTCCAAATATCTTTTTATATGACGGAATAATTTCTAGACGAAATTTGATTTTAAATGAAGAAAAAAAAAATGGAAAGCCCAAAAAACGCGAAAAATGACTTGATTTACTCCAAAAATCATAACTGACATCATTTTTTATATTTCAAGATAAAATTTTAAGAAACTATTCTCAAGACATATCTCTTTAAGAAAAAAATTAGTACAATAGCAGGATTTAAAAAAAAAGTATTTATTTTAAATATCGAAATTAGGATTTTTGTGAAAAAAAGCAAACAGTTTTTCCAAAATATATAGATTTAGTTTATTATATTTTATTTTATTTTTTATTTTATTTTATAGATTTACTTCATTTATTTTATTTATTTATTTTTTCTGGGGTCTATTTGACCCCACAGTGCGCAATAATGGTTACTGTACAAATTAAATCTAATTAAAATTTAAGAATATATCATGATAAATTGTAAAAATTTAATAATAATATAAAAATTAAATTGATGAATCGTTTAAAAAATGATATCCCCTGTAAATTTTCTTTCATTTGTATCATATATATAATATTTGTATTATAAATATAATATTTGCAAAGTAAATTTTTTTAAATATTTTTTATATTTTTTAATATTTTTTTTTATATTATAGATATAATATTTACGAAGTAAGAACGTAAGCTGCGTTACGTCTTGTTATCTATTAATAATAATTTACGATTGTAGTATTTCCTTTTCTCGTGATACCTACGATAAGCCGTTGAGTAGTTGCAGACAGATGAAGTAGAGGTTGTTGGCGAACGACAGCAGGATTATGGGCGCGATATCAGCGTCTACTTTTTTCACCGTGCAAGAGAGAACGGCGTAATCCTCGCGAAATCCACTCCAGTCTATCGCTTGATGCTTCGACATCGAAACTGTGACTTGCTTGTTTAACGTTTTGTATCTTTCGGCCAGGCCGGTGGATACCTGAAAACTCCGAACAAAGGAGCATCGGAATCGATTAACAAGATTGAGAAACATTGAGCGGCTACGAAAGAAAAGGAATGTCGGAGAACTTCGGAGAACTCGCGTGAACTTCTATTACTCTTTTATTACCAGCATAAGGAAGAGATCGGTGAAGTTCCACGTGAAAGTAGCCAGCTTGCTGACAATGAAGATGAAGATACCGAGCGCAAAGTTATATTTCACTGAAAAAAACGAAAGAAGTAATTATTCAAAAAGCTTCTAAAGCAATTAAACAAAAAGCTTCTAAAGCAATTAAACAAAAAGCTTCTAAAGCGTATCTAAACTAATAACAGATCTGACGAAAGACCTTTTAATTAATTTGCGCGCATGTGAATATTACGTTCGCACTCGTGATTTTTAGGTACCGTTATTCGTACACAGCGAAACGATAATTAATTAATTCACCATCTCGTATTTTTCGCGCAAGAATCGAAGGTTGAATTAACAATTCGAATTCTAACGGAATTCTCGTTTGAATTCCAGTCGACTAACGGTTAGATTCTCTTCGTTAAATTTCCCTTTTAAATTGACGGTGACCTTCCAGAGATTAATGCGTGCGCAGGACTCACCTATATCCAGAATAAACGCATGGGAGGATGCGCAATACACTCTCAGGAAATTTGTAAACGTCGAATTCGAAGTGCCGCTCCAGTCGTACTTCTTGGAGTTCACCGCTATGCTCAAGATGTGCTCGATCAAGGCCAAGAGCAAAACGCTCATGCTTATCGTGTAGAACTTCCAGCGAAGTTTCGGCCGTTCCGCTTTGTTACTGCAAACAGGAGAGATTGTGACATGTAATGCAAGATTAATTAACTCTGAATAATCGCAACGCCCACGCAAATTTTCATTACGAGTAAATCGATTTCCAATAAATAAAATGGCGACTTCCCACTACCCTTGTTTAAATGTTCACGCTCTTTGAGTAGAGATTAAAAGCCACGATATCTTAATGCGATCGGCTGTGCACGTGAATTCATTTTTTTCACACTTGCTAACAGAGATAATTACACCAAATTTTAGATCGTACCGAATTAGCGGTGCATATTCGTAACATAATAAATAATGACAATTACATTATAATTCCAGGCAATCTATTATAATTCTAGGGGGATATAAATTATATAATAATATATTATTAAATTATATAATAATATATTATTTATTATTTTAATTATAATTATATAATGATATTATGATTATAAACAGCCATTAATTGAAATCGTAAATAACTTTTGCTTCCTTCTTCTTTATAATTTTGTTTGCATGCGCGCGAAATATATTTTTTTTTATATAAATATAATTTATACAGCCCGTGTAAATATATTTGGCATTTTTTATTGTTAAAGTCTCGTGTCTGAAATTAACAAGTCGCTTCTCCCTTGAATAGTCTTTCATATAGTATATATAAAAATTCACTATCTTCGGCGAGAAAATATTCAGAGAGAATTCGATCTATGAGATATGTGTATGTCATCACGCAATAATAATAATAATGATTATTTTCAATTCTTATTTTAAAGCGATAGAGTTTTCGCAATCGACTAGGAGAGATCGAGTGTGACATTTTTTATTGCGAGCGTTCTCATAATGTCTATTGTCATCGCGTGAAACGTGTAAAACCAGCGTGATCGCAATCTTCTCGGTATCTTTTAAGAGATATCTCCGCGCATATATGTATATATATGTATGTAAACACAATGCGCATATAAAAGCGAAGTTGATTGTACTGTGATTTTCGTATCTTTCGGGACAAACAAAACCGACCTGTCTATGAATTGCTCCATGTTTCTCCAATCGCGTTGAAGGGTCACCCAACGCGGTGACAGCCAGAAAAACATGATCAAACCTAGCACGCTGTTCCCATAAAATATTGCGCCTACCGTTGCAGCCGTGAATCCACCTGAAATCAGATCGTGCAGGTTAAATCGCGCGTCAGAGAATAAGCTTGATCGAGGATTCGCGGAGGAAGAGATATCACATCGTCCGAGCGTATGTATGATCCACCGTTATAAAAATAAATATAAATACATTTTTCGTATCGATATAATTTGCTTCCTTTTCTATTTATTGTTTATATTATTGAGTGGAAAATTATAAATAAATAAAATTTAAGTTAAATTAAATTGAAATTAAATTGAATTAAAGTTTAAAATCTAATTTAATTCACATTTATTTATAATTATAAATAAATTTTATATTACCGATAGTTGGTGCTTATTGGCTAAAATGCTTAAATGCTTACAGACAAAAAGTAATTTGTAATCTTAACAGCATTACGTAATAGTTACTTATTATACATATTGAAGACACTTATTATTACTAATCTTAAGAAATTACTCATTATTGTTATTCAAAAAGTTACTAGTTAGCAAGAAGCGTTGAGTTAGCACTGTTTACGCTTTACGTAATGGTTACTTATTACCTATTGAAGAAGTCATGAAGTACTGTCATTATTACTCTTGAAGAATTACTCATTACCATAATTATTATTCAAGAGGTAATGAGTTATTACAAGAAGTACTGAGTTAGTACTGTTTGCGTTTTACATAATGGTTACTTATTACTTATTGAAGAAGTCATGGAGAAACTGTCATTATTACTCTTGAAGAATTACTCATTGCAATAATTATTATTCAAAAGATAATGAGTTATATAAGAAGATAATGAGTTATATAAGAAGTGCTGAGTTAGTACTATTTTCATCGAACTTTGAAAATCCTTTTCTTGATTTGATGCCACTGATCTTCCAGATAAAAGGTAGCAGCGATTGTACTTTGCGTTAAGTTTATAGAAGAGATTATACAAAATTGTTTTCGTAAAAATATGGATTTAAAAAACATAATAATTCAATGTAAATAGATATAAAAATCGGTTCGATTCGGTTTTGCTTTTACTCTATTCGCGACTATTACTCTAAAGAGAGAGGAAGAAGAAACTTATCAAATCCCGGTCAACTTTAATGAATGTGTATAGAAACGAGCAGTTCGCACAACTGGTAGGAAACTGCGCAAACGAATTTTTCTGCGCCTCTGTCCTCGTTGCAACCTTGTAGTAAACGCTACGTGTCAGCCAGAATGGGATAAGCGTGACGGAACATGAAAGACTTATCTGTTTACCTTGCACTTCGAATGTCGTGGAGTTTAGCGTCCTTATCATATGAATAGCCGACAATATCGCCATGACAAGCACCATCGCCGTTACGAGGGTGGCGTAAGCAGTACGAAGTGAGAATTTCGCGAACCTCATCTTGTTAGGTGTCAACTGGAGCAACCCTGATATCGGTAGGATACCGAAGAATTGAGCCAGCACTAAAATAGATGCAATCGCGCGATAGAAGCTCTCTGGATCCTGCAACAGAGAATGCCCTTCGCTGTAGACGTCGATTTTCCTTAATTAAGTCTTTCCCTGTGGTAAAATTCAGTTACTTAAATTCGGAATATATTTTTAATTGGGACTATGTGAGAGAGCTCGAAGATAGATGTTCTTTAGACATTGTATGATATTCAAAGCGTTTCTTGAACGTTCTTTACGTTCCAGATATTTTAACATTGTTTAGAGTAACTATTCTTCTTAGCTGCACTTTGTAGACTTTCTGCTCGTCTTCACCAGAGCATGAGCGCGTTTCGCGACGCATGAGACAAATACGAAGATTCTCTGCGGACTCTCACATTGTTGTTCGCGGATAAGATGCGCTCGTTGAGAAAGCTGTCACGAAGAATTGGTCGTGTCCCTCGCGAATCCGTGGGATGCAGTTCGGCAAGTTGAGTCTCCATAATATGCTTCTTCTTATTGCGAGCCAAAAGCGGCCAGATTTTCCGACAAGTCGCGCCGCTTCTCCTGGAGCCAGCACTGAATATCCGTTTCTTTTTCATCATGCCGTGGACATCCATGTTTAAGAAAGCGACCATTCCACGAGGGGAATCCTATGAGAAACGCAATCAACGCGATCGTTTCGGGAAGGGACGATACTGAATATCAATTATTTAACATGCGAGAAATACATCTTCAATTTATCGAAGGAAATGTATAATCCTTTTGTCGAGAGAGTTTGTAAGAGGGAACTGGTGATTTTTCACACACGCTTCAGACTCACGTTCCCGACTCACGAGGAGCGCGATAACCGCTTGAGCAATTAATTATCGTCGCATTACATCGAATGCAAGCCCAGCTGTCGCGGGAAAAGGGTTGGTCGTTTGTCCAACGTAGCCGTAAACCCGATATGTTGACACGGACAGACAACTCGCATATTAAGTGACACGTTTCTTGTGAGCCTTTTCTTCGGATGACTCTGGTCGAATGTTATTAAGTGACTGTCGACTATTCCGGAGTACGATCCTCCGCGAAGTTATACCGTAAAACTCGTAATATGAAAAATAATGGGACGCGCCACGTGCCCTTTGATATTCATATTATAGATTGAACGATATTGGAAGAAACGACGATAATATCGATACCAATGCAATTAATAATGTCAAGGAGAATAATCTAGCAAGAGACAGAAACGTGCCTTTGTTGAGAACGCAATGTTTGACAGAGCCGACGGGACACTGTGATGTTTTCCTTGAAAAAGAAATCAATGAAAGATATACAACAATGAAAGATATACTTTTAGAATATTAATATTCTATGCTCCCTTTTCATGCCGCATATGACATGATACACGTGTACGCGATACGTTGTTGTCGCGAACATGTCGCAGATATCAGATGCTGTTCGAATGTAGTTTACATAACTCTCGCTTTTCTTATTGAAATTTTAATGTACACTGTGTGTATCTACACAGTCTTGTGTGCAAAAAAGAAATAGCGTCTTGTATATACGCTTATAACACATGGAACTATTTATCATTTGTCACATATGTATATATGTATGTATGTATGTATATATGTATATATGTGTACGTGACGGATGGCATCTTTTCTTTAACGTCACCCTTGTTTATTAAATTAAAAAACGATTCGTTATCGAGACACTCACAGCGCTTCAAACTTGTAACTATCCGCAACTTCTCTTTCCGACTTTATTTCAAATGGACTGAAGAATTTCTCATAATTATGAGACAAAAATATAAAGATAAATATATGTCGCTTTGCGACACGTACACAAGAGTTTCTTACCTTGAGTTGTTTGTAACAATTGTAATTAATGATCAGTAATCAAAGGTGATTTTGCAAGGCGTATAAAAATGTCTCCTTAGACTTTCGGTTTAGTGTTTTGAGCACGCTCTGTTCTTGTTCAACTTTTACTAAGTAACAAGAACAGAGCACGCTCATAGCGCTAAATAGCATCTTTTCAAATACAGCCTTAAGCTACTCTTAACTTCTGTTATTCTTTTCTTCTTTCTCTCAATTATCTTCTATTCTATTTCTCGATTGTCGCACGATACATTTAAAGCTCCTAAAGCTGCATTCAGAGAGATGCTATTTAGCGCTTTGAGCGCGTTCTGTTTTTGTTCTTTCATAATTAACTTTAGTAATTAAGGACAGAACACGCTCATAGCGCTAGATAGCGTCTCCCCGAATGCAGTCTTAAACTACTCTTAACTTCTTTTTTTCTTTCTCTCAATTATCTTCTATCCTATTTCTCGATTATCGCACGATACATTTAAAGCTCCTAAGGCTGTATTCAAAGAGATGCTGTTAAGCGCTTTGAGCGCGTTCTTTAGTAGTGTGCCGTTTCCTTCGAATGTGACGGAAATTGTGTAGTGTAGTACGCACATAATATCCTCGCGTTTCTCGTGGCAGCGCTCGTTTGCAAGACGGACGAACGAGGAGAACTGGAAAACGAGCGAATGCTTTGATGACGATCGTCGTCAACCCGTTGCACGTGGTGCGTAAACGTGTACTAACGAGTGAAGGGCCGACTTGAATCAAGAGCGACTACGCGAAGCTGTGGGACGCATGTCCGATCAGATAGCCGGCTACACCACTTGTTCGCGAGCGCGAGCGGCTTCGTCGAGAATAAAATACATGTGCACAACATACGGTTGTATTGATTGAGTTATTTTGTTCTCTATTTTTTAGTATGTAAATTATGAGCGCCCATCTGGAGCGTCATTTATGAATGCCGTATCGATTATCCCCGCAGCAGGCTCGACTTCGCGATAATGAAAGACTGTAAGTTTCGGAGTTAATTAAGGAATCGCGAATACGCGTCTTGAAAATAGGAGCTGGTTCCCTGATGGTTCTCAGACTTTCCTCCTTTACTTTAAGATTTTCGTCTTAAACTCGTTCTTTTGAACTTTAAACTTTTTCCACTCAGGTAGCTCCTTCGCGCTCACGACTTTTCCCGCGAGTAATTTGGAAAACAAATTAAATCGGCAGTCTCAATAAGTCGAATAAAGATATTAATAATTAATTAGGGCGAGATCAGAGTGAGATGAAGAAAATTTATTCGCAGAAACTCACGAAGTGCCTACACCACGAGGTATCAATAAAAACGAGTGATCTACTCTATATATTCGAACGTCGCATCCCAATTTGTCTTCGTAAGTGCTGCAAGGCTGTACTATTTTTCCTGTCGTTGTACTTTGTGATATTCAATCGCTACATTTCCGATTTTTTCAGAATGTTTTACAACTTCTAGATCAATAAGTTTTATTTGCTCCGATCGGAGATAAGCGACGGTACGAGAGCAAAGGGTGTATTAGGCGTTAGGATTGATAAAATATTCAAGCATGCGACTTGTCCGCAAACAGTTACGGGAAAATGAACTACTAAATGAGATATGAGTAATAGCAGGAAAACAATGAGACCTGTTTGTACATGGCGCATGTTCCTGAATCGATTCTCTTTACGAAAAACACACAGCTGTGGTAATAGATGTTTACACACGTTTACATGTGTGTTCACATTATCCATGGCAGAAGTTTCTCTCGAACGTTCTCCTCGAATTGCTCTAGCCGCGCAAACATCAATTTTCGTACACGTCAAAATCATTAACGAGTGAGTGATGTCGACAACTGTAATATCTCTTAAACGGTCCGACGAGCGACTGGATAATTACTGCACATTAATTTTTAATTAGTCACCTTATTTTTTTTGTACAAATTTGTTACTGTGATGAATATGTATATTACCCTAATAGCACAGATGTTCAGGAGACGTCCAGAGTACGCCCTGAGAACTTCCTGAGGACGTTTCTACGTCCTCAGAACATCTTTAGGATCTCCAAGAGATCTTGTGTTGTATGGGTAGTTATTGTGAACATTCTAAAAATCTCTGTTATTCCTCAAGACATGTAAATCTTGCTTTATAAAAATATGGGAGCTTCTTGGCGTGAGTGATATCAGAAAGATATATTGTGTATAGAGGTAAATTAGATTTTCTGAGGATAACAGATTGAGACAATAAGACAAGAGTGGAAATACAATAAGAAATAAGAATTAGATTTGTTTTCTATAATTGTACATCACATCTATTCATACATATATATGATATATCTCACTAATATGTATACACACTGAAGGAACAGCGTACAGTTCAACATGTACTGTCCTACCAGATGGCACGTTGCATTCCAGCCATTTTATTGTAATCGATCAAATCGCGGAAGATGAATCTCGATATTCTCCATCTGTGCACAGTGCCGTAAGCACGAGAAGTCACTACACATCTTGGTGTCAATTGTCTCAGAGCAGTCTGTCTGGGAATTGTTTCATCTATCTGTTTGCTTACAAGTTCCTAGAGGAATCATTATAGATACATTACACAAGGCTTACAATGTTTTTGTGGAGTTTGAATGAAGAAACAATTACAATTGTGAATTTATTAATGAACCTGAGTCAGCACTTACTCTTATTTCAATCGGCAAGATATCATTTCGCTTCATGACAACTAATCGCAAACGTTCCTCTGCATATTTCTTTGTCCAACGCCTGCGCTTCATGTCTCGTTTCATTCTGGCGTTAATATGATTTCGTGTCTGCTGAAACTGTAAATATATAGACAATATAAAAGTAAATATATAGACAACTTACTATTGCAATAATAAATACAAATAATGTCAAAAGGAATATTGAATGATTTTTTAAAATTCCTTTAGCTGGCTGAAGCCTTTAGTTTCATCACTGAGCCTTTAGTTTCCCTTATAGCATGATATGGCTTTACGACATACTGTTTTTACTTCTGTTCTAAATAATAAACTTTATCTTATGAATGTCAACTATGATATTGAATTGTATGAGGTTAGGATAACATTAAATATTTCCAATCGTCGTGTGGAATCGCTCTATAAAATAATTTAGGCAAAATGCATGAGAAATAATTATGCGATTACTTACATTACATCCTGACAAATTTATACTATTCGATAGAATACTGCAAACACCTGAAATGCATCTTCTCAACGCCGCCATGTTTATCGAGTCAGTTGTTTCTTGCTAGAGAGAGGTTTGGGAGCAATCATGAGGATATTTTTATCGATGCGCCCTCTATAGAAATTAGTGTAAAACATTTCAATTTTTTCGTTATCAACAGTCACTGTTTCTACTAATAAAATAAAGTACAGAATACGACTTTATAACATAAATTAGATCTTTTATTTCTATAATAATTCTATAATAATTCTTACGTATGTTTAATTGCGAATTATTATTTAATGTATTTAGTTGTGCTATTTATATATGTAAAAATATAGAACATATTACTCTCTGGCGATTTTCATGTAACTGTTCTGCAACGTTCAGGGGCATGTTTTTAAAAAGGCAAAAGATCGTGTTGCACTTGGAGCAATAATGAACTCGTTAGTTATCTCTCGTTTCCGTAGCTTCTTTATTCACTTTTTTTTATTTGTTATCACTGTTATTTATATGTATGTACAGAAAACTTTCAACCAATGCAATTGTAGAAGAATCGCGGGATAAAAGATGCCGAGTTATCATAAAAATCGTCGTTCTTAAACGTGTCTCACGATTTCATGCGGATTACACGTGATATAGAAAAAAAAGGAAGAGTTTATAGTAAAAGTTTATAATAAAAATGCCTTGTAGAAAGTTTACAAGAGGATTCACTTCATCTATAATGAAATAATTAAACGATAATTATTAGATAATTAGTAAACAGGTCCCATCTCCCAACGAAATCTACTTTTGTCGAGGCCTACCACCGCTGTCTCTTCTATTCTAGTTTTCTGTGAATAGATATAGAGCAGTCTGAATGATTAATATAAAAAGCTATCAAGAAGATGAAAGATCACCGCTTTATCGCTGTTTTTACTTTCGAATTGTATAGTTATCGTAGAGAATGAGAGCGGATAAATGAGGAATTTCTTCGCAAAGAAGAGGATAACAAAAATACAAGAATACATTGCCAATTAGCTGTCAAACATCGAGACAAAATTAGAATGAGAGTAATAGTAATAATAAGATGTTTTTATCTTCGAGTATCGAGCTGATACAGAATTTATTTCCGTATAATTAAAAAATATAATTAAGCCGCGCTAAATTATGATGTTGACGTTCGTTATGAAGATGTTGTCAGATAGTTCGCGCGAAGTTCGCTTTCCCTCTTCACGCGTGCGCGTCGTCCGTCTAATGCAGTATATCTCGCCAATCGATCGCAATCATAATCGCCCAAATGGTGGACTTTCCTTTCCTGCGGAATTCTTTACGATGGAAGAAATGGCGAAGGAACCATTTCGACAAACGAAATATTCGCGCGTCGAGGAAACGCGATGTACGCATTATTTCTTCATACGCGCGAAGAACTAATCTTCGTGATTGGATTGTAATTTCCTTATTTTTGGGAATTCGTGATTGTGCGGAGAGTTCCGCGATCAGTGGCGATAACGATGATAATAATGACGACGGAGATAATTCTACGACGTCTGACACATGCGAGTCGCGTGACGAGGGAGAGCGAGCTGCGTCGGCTGTTGTATGCCGGCGTTCATCCGGCGACATATTCGCACGGAAACTATCGGTATATGCACGGAAATTATTGTAATAGTTATTTTTTCTTCTGGGCTTTCTCAGCGGCCTTAGTGACTTTGCCGGTCGCGTCCTTGAAGGTCACGGCCTTGATAACACCGACGGCGACGGTCTGACGCATGTCACGGACGGCGAAACGTCCCAGAGGAGGGAACTCCTGGAAAGCCTCGACGCACATGGGCTTGCTGGGCACAAGAGTAACGATGGCCGCGTCACCTGACTTGATAGACTTCGGGTTCTCCTCAGTGGTCTTGCCGGTACGACGGTCGCACTTCTCTTTGATTTCAGCAAACTTACACGCAATATGGGCGGTATGACAATCCAACACAGGCGTGTATCCGTTGCTGATTTGACCAGGATGGTTCAGCACGATGACCTGTACAAAAGCGAATAATTGTGTTAATTATACGTTTCACACAACTTGTATATTTTAACTGTAGATTTTGTAATTTATATGAATGGATAGAACTGAAATGTATTGAAGCACTCAGACGCATTTGACCATCACTAGAACGAATCCTCTGGTGGAAACCACGAATGAAGAACATTGGTATCATCATAGTGCATCAATACTGAATTATGAAAAAAAGCGCAGAACATATGATGTAATAAAGTGCAATATTCACCTGTGCGGTGAAATCAGCAGCTCCTTTAGGTGGGTTGTTCTTGGAATCACCAGCGACGTAACCACGACGCAATTCTTTAACAGACACATTTTTAACGTTGAAACCAACGTTATCGCCGGGAACAGCCTCTGTGAGAGCTTCATGATGCATTTCAACGGACTTAACCTCAGTCATCAGTCCAGCGGGTGCAAAGGTAACGACCATGCCGGGTTTCAACACACCAGTTTCGACACGGCCAACAGGTACGGTTCCAATGCCACCAATCTTGTACACGTCCTATAGAAAGAGAAAATATATTATTCCAATCGGATTAATTGTATATATTATAGATATTAAGCTTCCAATTATCAACAGATCCGAAGTAAAGTTCAGTAAAATAGTAAATACTAAATGAAGAAGAAAATGTTATATATCACGTAGATTTTGTAATTTATATGAATGGATAGAACTGAAATATATTGAAGCACTCAGACGCATTTGGCCATCATTAGAACGAATCCTCTGGTGGAAACCACGAATGAAGAACATTGGTATCATCATAGTGCATTAATACTGAACAGTGAAATTACAAATAACGAATCGAATGAAAACCAATAAATCCACGTTACCTGAAGGGGAAGACGAAGCGCCTTGTCAGTCGGCCTGGTGGGTGGCAGTATAGCGTCTAAGGCCTCAATAAGGCATTTACCCTCAGCCTTATTGTCTTTGCGCTCCACTGTCCAGCCTTTGAACCAGGGCATTTTGGCGGAAACCTCCAGCATATTGTCGCCATGCCAACCGGAGATGGGTACGAAGGCTACAGCAGCCGGGTTGTAGCCGATCTTCTTAATATAGGAAGAAACTTCCTTCTTAATTTCCTCAAAGCGAGACTCAGAGTAAGGCGGCTCTGTCGAGTCCATCTTGTTAACTCCGACGATCAGCTGTTTTACACCTAGTGTAAAAGCGAGCAGAGCATGTTCACGGGTCTGTCCATTCTTGGAGATACCGGCTTCAAATTCTCCGGTACCCGCGGCGACAATCAATACAGCACAATCGGCTTGCGATGTGCCGGTAATCATGTTTTTGATAAAGTCCCTGTGTCCGGGAGCATCAATGATGGTAACATAATACTTGGAAGTCTCGAACTTCCACAGAGCGATATCGATCGTGATACCGCGCTCACGCTCTGCTTTCAGCTTATCCAACACCCAGGCGTATTTAAATGAGCCTTTACCCATCTGGAAAGCAATTGTTTAGATTAGTTCTCGTGCAGTTATTATTGCCTCTCTGCTAACAATAAGTTTTATTATCTGTAAAGATTTGAAAAAAAAAAAGGTATTCAGACATTCTCAACTATCATTAGACTCTGACAGAATCCTCTAGTGGAAACCGCGAACGTGAAAATTATTTTATCATCATTATACCACTGTGAATTGCATTATGAGTTGTGTTAACGTAAAAGCCATTGAAGTATGTTTTTATTTTATATAATAGTTACCTCCTGGGCTTCCTTCTCGAACTTCTCGATCGTACGTTTGTCTATACCACCACATTTGTAAATTAAGTGTCCCGTGGTGGTTGACTTGCCGGAATCTACGTGTCCGATTACGACGATATTGATGTGCGTCTTCTCTTTACCCATTTTGGAATTCTGATGTTAATAAACTCGTTAAAACTGCAGAGAAAGAGAAAAAAATATTAAAATACGCGTGATAAAAGGAAACTGAGGATTTCGAAGGCGCTACAATATGCTGATAATATGAAAAATATAAAAAAAAAAAAAAAGATTTAATTGCAATCTAATAACTTCGAGGCAAGTGTCGACTGATAACGCAATATGGAGTAACCGGTACGACCGGTACGGCCTATAGCGCCAGAATGACTCCCGGCTTTCTATATCTCAGGACACTCGAATATTCCGTTTGGCTTGCGGACAGTTGCTCCATATTGCGCAAGGAGACGCAATATGGAGTCAGACACGATGCGCCAAGACGCGATCTCGCCCGAGATATGCTTCATCGGTCGGCGGTGTCTTTGTCCGCCATCCACGTGGCCGAACGTGAACATTCCAGAACGGCAGCCGGCAGCCATTTTGTAGATGGCGAGGAGGAGCGGCGCGCTGTTGCCACGATTTTCGCGACGCTCGACGGCGTACAATGCCACGTTATTGCCGATCCTTTCTGCGAGATCCTCGTCGTTCGAACGAATTACGAATTGAATCCCCCGGCACGACTGGGAAAAATCGCGAAATGAATCTAGTGACGCCTATTTTTTAGTAACTTCGCGCATCTCATCACCGACTTCTAACATACATCCTTTGCGGCTCGTAACGTACATGGAAAATTACAGATGCGACCGAGCCTTCGAGTGTTATTCACAGCTACGCAGATTTTTTTCCTCTCTCTCTCTCGGTCTGTCTCTCTTTCGAGTATCGACGGAAAGAAATCGAATCGAACTATCGAATTGAGTTTCGGAGTTTCACGATCGTTGCGACTCTTTCGTGGGATTGATCATTATCGCGCAACAGTCGCGTTCCTCTTTTGTTACGCGCGAGCGACGGATCGGTCGTTAATTTCATGTAACAAATCTGTTCCGCGGAAATCGCCCGGTGGCCGCAATGGCGAGGCATGCGGATACCGCCCAGTTTTTACGCGCGGATCGCCTCCCTTCGTCGACGGAGCCCAATTGCTTCGCGGTTAACGAACTTTACCTCGCGGCCGCTCTCGTCCCTCTCCAGACTCCGGCCATGCATTCCACGGACAAAGAACGGCGAATTTCAGCGAAATCAAGGCCGGCACCGAACTCGACACGGCGATACGCGCCAGCAACGATAGCGCGATCGTCTAGAATTCATCCCAGACATCTCGAGAGCCGTCGCACAAGGTCATCGTCGTTGCACACGGCCTCCAGGCGGATTCGCGACTCATCAAGAAGGAAAGAGAGAGAGAGAACGAGAACTTTAACCTCGCGTTTCCGGTTTTCGGCATCGCCGTTACGAAGTCGATACATACGTTCGTTCGCTCGTCATGAACACCGCGACCTTTCGCCTTCCGAGCAACCAGCATGCCGATTATGCCGCGCCGAGAATTTCCTCCAACGACGCGGCCGAGAGAACTCGTGACCGCCACTCCAGCGCTCTGACAAGCGGCGGCGACGGCGGCCATTAGTGCATCCGGTCGCGTCCTGGACTCTCGTCGGCGACTCGACCGGTCCTCGCCTGGCCGACGCGTTGCCGTCCGGCTCGTCGAAGAGACGACCATCCCGGCGCGGCGACGCTCGTTGCTAAGACCATCTCGTCGTGCCGACGAGAAAGGCCGACAGAGGCGAGCACACGTCGACCACAACCGGCCATGCGGCGGCACTTTCTCGGCGACAGCGACGCCGTAGTTGATCGAGAATCGCGGGGAAAATCGCGGCGCGATCGTAAAACTGTTCGCACTGCACAGTACGCCGAAGCCCCGGCTGTCGTTCTATTCCGTACCTGCGGTTCGATGTCCTATCCTCAGTATAAGATTCGTCGGATTAGTAACTGCGATCCACGCAGCACGAGCGACCACTCACCTCCAGATGCCACGACAGAAAGAGGACGGCTCAGTCAGTGCCATGCGCATACGGCTTCCCGGCCGAAAGTCTCGCAACCAGCGCCAGCATCATCAGCGCCAGCATCATCAGCGCCATCTACTATTCTCGCCACCGTCGAGTGTTGCTTCGAAATTTCGCCTGTCTGTAATATAACAATAACGCGAATGGCATCGCGCGAATCACACGTGCAAGGGCATGTACGAGTTCACGGCGATGTTTCGACGCGATGACTCCTGTGATTTTTCACCATTTCGTCAGATCACAGTTAGCGGCTGGAACCTCTCCGGGCGTCGTAATCGCCGGGTCGTCTGGGTTCGAGGTTGCGAGTTACACGTCCACGTCCACATCGCGCGCCTTGCGCCTATACATACACACGCGGTCCTAGTGGCGTGTATATGTGTTAGAGGCAATATGGCGGCTGGTGGGGGCTGTGAGCGAGAGAGAGAGAGAGAGAGTGTGAGCGAAGAGCGCGCTGCGGGAACGAACGGGGCGACACGTTGCAATCGGACATGCATTTATGCTTGTGAGTAACATCTGGTTTGATGTTGCGATCCTGGCTGCATAAAGAGCTGTGAAACACTCGATATCGGGTATTGAATGGAAAACTATGACGTTTGCGCGTACGTTCTTATATCCGTGCTGCAACAAAGAGTTTGAATATTCGATTCGTCGTGTCTTCCGATGTATTTTGTCCTATGACTCCAAGGACCGATTGTTCCAGCTTCTTCGTTATCTGAGTTCCAAACATCCCTTTTGAGGAAATTTTACTCGAGACTCTATAGTTTATATAACGTGAACTGTAGGTATTGAGTAAAATTTTTTTCAAAAAGCACGTTTTGGAATGCAAACCTGACAAATCGTATGTTTCGTTTTTTTTTTAAACTGGACAGAGATAGGCAAATGATTTAACTGTCAGATAGCTTGCCAAGAAGTTGGAACAATCGGCTCCAAAGGTCTTGTTCTGGATGCGTATTCGAACCTTGAGTACGTTCTTTTTATTTTAAGTTGTGCATTTCCTTACACGAGCGCCTAGTATACGGTTATTAGTTCGAGAATCGGAAAGACGTATTCGAATACGCGTCAAGAATACGGCCTCAGTGGACCGATCTTCTGACTTTATAACGACGATGTTATTAGCATGATGTGTCGTCGCGTAGCTTTCCTACCATGTGTTATATCTGCGTAACGACAATGATAACGACATTGTCGTTAAAAATTATAGAATCAGCAGACGGAGGCCTTATTCCGGAGGAATATAATTCTTAGCCATTTCTTACTTGGAGGTAAATGGAAGACTTTTTATAAATTCATAGTCTCTTTCGAAATCTATGAATAATGAATGAAAATTACTAGAGACAAAAGAAGAGGACAAAAATGTATTTTTAATATATTCTCAGTTATTCCGTTTGATGGTTGGTGAGATAGTAATGCAAGCAATAACTCGGTCGTTAAGATAAACGGTGAAAGGAAAAGATTAACTACGCTCGAGGCATAGCGGTATTATTCGTTACAGCCCTGCAGTCCCCGCTTTTACAAGCAAACTTATATCTGCTACCAACAATGCTATGTTTCTTTCATGAACTTTCGTTTCCAACTCTCGCTTTTGTATATTGCAGCACAAGGAAACGCATTGTTTTTCGCGCGCAGTTTGTTGCTTTCACGAAATGTTTCGCGGAACGTTACTAGGATGCAACTGCATCTTTTCGTTGCCTGATTTTGGCTTATCAAAGTCTGAACTCTGAAAGGCTGGATTACTAATTTCCTTAAAGATACATTTATTGTCTTATAATTTAGTAAGATAACAGATTATTAGAATCACATTTCGATATTGTAAAACAATTATTTTAAAAACTGTGATTCATCAAGCAATTAACAATTAATATTAAAGCAAAAACCTAGTTGAAAAAAGATTTTTTCTCTCTCCCTCTGCCTTCTGATTGTATTTTTCTTAGAAAAGAGGAGATAGAATTCAACATGTGGGTTTCCTCGCTACGCTCCTGACGCAGTCAACGAAAAAGAAAGGCTCACTTACGCCTGTCGCAGGCAACACGATATACTTTCATGATCGAGTAGCCATGTAACGTGACACGTGTTCATCGCGCTCGTGTTGTGCAATCACGTTTCTTACGTGGAACCGCATGACTCATTGGAATCATGAATGAATAGTGCGCGTTCGTATTAGCAAGATGTGCACGTTAGGCGACATTCACACGATACCCTTTAGCGCTGCCTAAGCGGAAGCGTCGTGTCAATTTGCCAACTGCAGCGATACATTGCCCTCGCCACGTCGGATTTTGCGTATGCCCGTCAGCAAGCGTAGCATTTTGACGAGTGCAGCCGGCACGTAGTGAACTCACGTTGTTGGCCCGTCTCGGAAGTTCAGTATCGATCGAGTTCTAACTGCAACTTTTTATCCAGTCTTCCAGGGGTTGTCAACGTCGCGAACAAAGAAAGGGATTCGAACCCGTCGGCAGGTCTTTTGTTGATTCACTGGAAGAACCATCTCCCCGGTTAGTTGTAACACGGAGCCGCGATTCGGCAAGTTACGTAACTACGTTAACTAACTTCACGAGTCAATCGCCGGCAGGTGTTGCTTTCCTGTTTCATGATACATCGTCTTCTGCAGTTAATACTTTTTGCCTTTTTTATCGTTTACTCTTTGGCAAACTTAGCGGAGGAAGTTTTCCGGGAAGAAGTTCGGACCTGGTACGTCTCACGGGAAGAAAATCGAAATCGAGGGGGAGACCTTTGTTGTTCTTTCACCTCCGTAAATAGAAAACGTTCTTGTGACGACGAATCGCGCGTTTAGTCGTTTCACCGTTCTCTCTTGCCGCGTATTAATTAATAAGAGTATTTATGAGGTGGAAAAGGGGATAGAAAGAGGGGAAATGCACACACAGAAAAATGTCATTTTGCTGCTGAGAAAAGCGTACTCGGTTTACTTTTCTTCTTTCAAGTAATGGCTTTCTTCAGAATTTGTATCAACAATAGTTTTAAAACATATCTATCACAAGTTTGAGAAAAGTTTAATTATCGTGTGTTCAAAAGAAGAATTCATTCTCTTCACGAGAATGTTATGAAACTTTATTCGAAATCTTAACTAAATTTTTGTTTTAATTAAATATTCTCGACTGAAATGCTAAACTCACTAAAATTCAGAATATATTTTGAACAAATTTGACGCTCACGATAAACTTGTGACAGATTTGCGGATGTATGAGTTCACGAAATACTCGAAACAAGTATCAGTTACTCGAATGTGATATGCATTTTTCCGTGTGCGTGCGTAGGATGTGCGCGAAAGGAAGAGGACGCGACAAGGGTCGCGGGGAAGAAAAGTCCGTGGCCCTCTTCAAAATCGTCTATTTATATTTCAGGATTCCTACTGACATCCGATCGTACAGACACTCGCACGCGGGCGCGGCACAGCTAAGTTTCGAAAATTTAAAAATAACCTTCTATCGTCGAGGAGAGAACAGATAGACGTATAGAAATGGACAAAAATGCGCGTGTGTACAGCCACACACGTACGCGACGCGTCGGGATACGCGCACGCGGCCGTGCGTCTCTTCCACGTTCGAGAATCGAACGTGCGACGATTCTCCCTGTCCGTCCGTCTGGCGCCTCGTTTTCGACCGGATCGAGCCCGAGATCGCTGGAATATCGACGAAGTTTGATCTGCGATGTCGCGATCACGGCGAAACGCCGTCATTTTCCGGAATAGACGTCACGCTTTCGCGCGTGCTCGCGGCTGCGAGATCCGCAACTCGTCGAGATCGCACCGATCTTGAACCGTGCGACTCCGGCATTTCGACTGCTGATCGCTTTTTGCATTTTTTGTCTTCTCTTTTGCTCACGCGACTATTACACACGCCACTTGCACGTACATTGCAACGGAAAATCGGTCGACCTTCAAATCGAGCAGTCAAAGCGTAGCTCGTCGTGTGACATCTCCTAACGAGTCTCATCCCTTCCCGTTTCCTTTCCACTTTCCCTTGCATGTTTTACTTTTTGGTGTTGTCTACCTTTCGACATGAATGATCGTCGACACGTATCGCGGCACCGTCGTCGACATTTTGGTCAGTTCTTCGTTTTAATGGAAGTGAATTCTCGCTTTGATCTCACGCATACAGGTTTACATAATTTCCTCTTGATGCATTTTGCATACGCACCACACACACATACACGCGCGCTCGCACGCACGCACGCACGTATAGACACACACACATACTTGTTTTCTTTTTTCTTTTTCTCATGCACACTTTTCGTCTCGTTCGCGCGTTTCTATCAGGCTTGTCATCTCTTATTGGGGCGATCGTAAAGTTGTACAGAGTGATTCGGACTGGTCGCCCGTATATATCGGCGGAATGCTTGAAATAAAGGTCGCTACTTTAAAGTACTTTCAAATTAAATAGCGTCGGAGGATATAACGATATACTCTCCGACACAATTGTTCCTCTCGCATGCCGCGTTCTGTCAAGATCGTCGCGCGGTAACGCTGAGATATACCAGCGGTCTATACAAATCGCCCTGTACAAGTTTCTCGATACATATATATATTTATACATAGCATCATTGTATATCTATATAATATGTGTATTTATATAATCGTATCTATATTTATATTATATCCATATTTACAAAAGGTCGCATTCGTTAAATGTTAGTATTCAATATCGCAACTGTTATTACACTCTAACTTTATTCCTGAGTAACTATTCATTAAGAGCCTTACCGAGAGACTCGTCTGCCTCCTGCCTCTGTTTTTCACTTTATATTGTATTATCAGATAAATCGTTTAACACTAAGCGCCGTGACGTGTGATCGAGGTAGCGAAATGACAAACGTGGGAAATGCATCCCGTGGCGCTGGGTAGTTACTCTGTCGTTTACTGTGATTTGCTTTAGTAGAAATCATTATCGGTGCGCTATCGCGGATGCCGAGTTCGGGGACAGGATAATGCGCTAATTCTTGCGCGAGAACGAGATTGACGTTCTGCATGCGGAAAAAGAAATTGCGCTCTGCGCGCGTAAGAAATTCGGCGTTCTGCCGCCGAAGAAAGATGGGATCTCGAGAGGCACGAGGAGCGGAGGAAATTTTGCATAGAGGAAAATCGCTCGAATATCGACGATACGCCTGCGAATCTTTGAGCGATCCGTAAATACGGAGTAGCGTAATCGCGTTTCAGGGTTTCACCGCGTGCAGAATAGCGATGCACGCCGAATTGTCGCCTTTCTCGATCATTTTGTGGAGTTTACGCAAATGTAGTAAGTTTTCTAATGGAAGAACGCGATATATATACGAGTACGATCGATCTCGAGTTGTATTCGCGATCGTTCGCGTTCGTTCTCGAATGATGCGACTCGTGCGAGAGAAATTTCCAACGCGCACGAGATCGAGATGATGCGGACGATACATTCTTGGCACACATGATACATTCTTGGTAACGTGCGAAGTGTCGCGACGTTTCTTTTTTTTTGTTTCCTTTGTACGTTTGCTGCGGTTGTCACTCAACGGTGGTTTTACAACGTACGGAAGACAACGTTGTGAAACGCGCTTGGCACTATAAGAAAGATCTAATGGTATTCACGTGAAGTTTGTGGTTTTAATTAACGAACCAACACATTTTGGTTGAAGGACACAGAATCTCTTATTTCGTTCTAAAAACCAGAAATCCCGTTTTCTTCAACTAAGACGCGTCAATTCGCGTTTGTTGCAACCAAACTTCATGATAATACAATCAACTTTCTTTCTCCGTGTATACTCAGCAACAAAACGGCTTTCACACTTTTTTCCAATAAAGTTGCAGCGTTCAAGATTGTCACGATTGTAAAACACTGCTGACGAATTTGCGCAGTAATTGGCTAGTAACAAAAGACATAGCCAATTGTTGCGTAAATTGATCACTATCAATAATGACAATTTAGTCGATAGTGACAATTATGATAATCTTGAGCGCTGCAACTTTATGGGAAAAAAAGTGTAAAAACCATTTTGCAACTAAGTGTACAATGAATCATAAAACATGTTTTGACGCATTTCGAGCACTAAAGTTGCAGCGCTTCAACGTCAAAATTGGTACAGCCACTGCTAACGCATTTGCGTATAAATCGGTTATGACAGAAGCCGAAATGACAACAGAAAGTGTAAAAATTAATTTAAGATAATGTGATAATAGTATTAATATATAAAACAGTATTTCGGGTTCAAACATTGCAATAGTGATAAAGTGAAAAAATGCGTAAAGGGAGACTAAGAAGAGAGCATAGACAAATAACTTTATCGGCAACGCAGGTAGAATAAATACAGTAAAATGAATATATGTGAAATATTTAATTGTTCAGAAGTAAATTTACCTTCTTAACATGATCTTTCTAGATTCAAAGATCCAGCAGGCTTCAATTCTGGCTTAGTCTGAGAAACTAGCTTCTATTATATAAAGAAATACGATGACAACTGAAGCGCTACAACTTCAATGCACGAAATGCGCCCAAATCGTTTTGTGACTCACTGTATATTTCAAACGAGATCCACAAAATGATGAGAATTCTCTCTTTCTACTCGACGCTCTCCGTATCTGGCAATTTACACGAAAATTCGATCATCGCACAACTCAAGTGTACTCTTTCGTAAAAATTTGTAAAGTCGACTTTATAAAAACCTCACAAACGACACACGCATCGCGATTAATGATCGAGAACGATACGCGAAATTCGGTTTCTCCATTACGATCGATATGAATCCCTCTGAAGGAAGGATCGGCTTCTAATCTGTCCAAAAAGCTCGTCGTTGAAGTCGGAAACCGAAATCGGTGTCCGGGATGTGAGGTCGTGTTGAATGCAGCTGATGGAACTTACGCTCGACGAGGATGAGAGGAAGGGCCGGTCAACCGATTCGATGAATGTCGCGTGGTCAGTAATCATCAAGCTGGCTGCTTTCGCCGCTGCTCGACGAATCTCACGCGTTTATTACGGATGCAAGTCGCGAGCGGTATTCTCGTGTGTCCTACACGCCCACGTCGCTCAATAACGCCGTTAAATATCTCGATAAATCCAATGTCGTGCAAACAGCTACGCGGGAGGATGTCATTATAGGAAGGAGATGACCTGATCGGAGCGCTGATATATTCGACATCAATCGCGCGAATTCCGGATATCCGTGATAAATGTCCAGCCTCTGGCTGTCGGCAAGCTGCCTATCGCGCTATCTCGAAAGTTACTTCACAATTTTCCGAATATCCACTTGGCCAACTTTTTAATCGATAGAACGACTTGGAACAACGCGTGATTATCGTCGGCTGCGGAGGATTCGATTGATTCAGCCGTGTCCTTCGAACTATGGCACTTACAGAGATATGAAAATTATTAGAATAATTTCTTTATTCATTCTTTCCAATTATTTATTTTCTCTAATTATTCTTTTCAATAAATGCCTAATTTCAGAAAATATTATAACTTGTTATCAATATTTTTTATAAGTTTAAAATGATTACAGGTTTATATTATATATTATACGACTAAATTATATAAATAATAATAAATTATATAAATAATGACGAGTATATCATATATTGTATTAGATTCCGTTATAAGATATATTTTGTATGTAAAAATAAATTTTTATATAGAAAATAGCAGATTACTTATATATTGAGAAAAGTACTTGAAAATTTACTTTTGGGATAAAAAGTTCATTTCTGTGAAATAATTTGTCATTATTTATATCATTTAGTTGAATAATATGCAATACAAACCTGTAATCATCTTGAATCTATAAGGAATACTGATAACAAATAATAATGTCTTGAAATTAGATATTTATTGCAAAGGACAATTGGAGAAAATAAATAAATAAAAAAATTAAAATTATTCCAATAATTTTCATATTTTTATAAGTCATGAAACTGAGTCGATTTGTTAAAAAAATACGTCACAAATCAGTATTCGCGTCATAATTGTGATTCAAGAGCAACCGAGTAGATTTTCGAACGTCTCAACATTTATATTAATATTCATAAATTCATAATATTTATGTTAATATTAATATTCTCCTTTGTGCTTGAATAAACTTGACATAATCGCTACCATGGTTTATTTGAAGGGTCGCCCTCACAAACCACTTTGTATTTTTTTATTTTTTTACGTAGTTGTGTAAAACATTTAATCTGGTAATTTGGACAAAAAAAAATGTCACGCTTATAACGAATGTGTCAAGTGACATGTTATTAGTTAAGATGCAATTTTCTGTAGCTGTAAAGTACTAATTTGTAAGAATAAAAATAATTTTTAATAAAGAAATTATTAAAATCGCGAAATTGGCGGATGGGGGGAGGTAGGTTCGCCCCTATTTAGTTATTTGGCGGACGGGGTATGTTGGCTCCTTTAAGATTAATTTGGCGCCTAGCACTATAACAAGTTTCGGTTATTACGTAATTGTGCACATAATTGTTGAGTTAAGACTAAAGCTCTACACTGATGAGAGCAATTTGGTTTTTAAACGCAAGATAATGCTATGTGTGTCGATGCCGAACTGCAAATGATAATTACGTATATAATAATGTACGTAACATACGCGCGCATGCGTTACGCGTTATCACACGTTGCTCGTAGATCGTCGTTGTCCACAGCACATTCGGTCGGTGATTGTGATTGAAATACGCCGAATACACACACACGCGTACGCTAATCGCTCTCACGCTACACGCGTACAAATTTAGTACAATAATGTAGGTAGTAATTGTCTAAGTAAGGCTGATTAAACGCACTTGCTTCCCTTGCAGTGACTAATGCGCGAACCCTCCCCTCTCTGTCTCCTTCTCTCTCTTTCACCGTCTCGTTTTCTTTCTCTCTCGTTTTCGCTATTTATCAATCGATATAGCGTTGTTGCAAGTTGCAGAACATGAAATATAGATTTCGCACAAGATACACGGTGTCTAGAGAAACGTTTGAAGGGTTCTAATGTTTTACCTGAGAGGGAACATCTCCTTAGTAGAACACGCGTGAAACTTAGACCTCCTCGGGTGTACTCGAGGAGGTCTTAGTCTTCGAGAGCTTTTGTCAGCTGTACTGACAAAACCCTTGTCTTGAAACGAACTTGGCACAGACAGTGACTGCCACCTGATAACTGCACGTAGGTACTCCTCGAGAGCTACTTCGAATGTAGAACTCTCAAAAGCACAACTTTCGAGTTTTACTTTGCTCTATCTGTCTCTCTCTTTCCCGCAAATCTGACTTTGAAATCTATCCTTAATTTACCACGACGTACTTTCGTCCGTCAAATACGCTTTACTTCGACAGTGAGTAACTTTTGCAAAGATGTTCACCCTCTGGACGAACTCAATCGGATCTCTGCGGAGAGACGGAGACAGAGAAACTCGACTTGTTCTCAAATTTCGTCCATTTCGGGATCGCGCCTATGCGGGAGTAGATGCGTTTCTCAACGTTATCGAAGTCAATCTAACGTTACAAATCCTAACGAATTTACAGAGGTATTCTAAATCAACGTGGCAGTAGAACGATGTTCTCCCTCGATCGCCGAGGCGCGCCGTAACTCGAGAGGCTGTGCGAATCGCGCACGCTCGATTCTATGCGAGGGGATCCTCCGTGGCTTTTAATCTTCGTAGTAAGAGCACTTGATCACTACATGTATTCCGAACTGAACGACCGATCGTGATGTTTGCCTTTTCTCTTGTCCACCTCGCTCACCCCTTCTCACCCTCTTTCTCGAATTACCGCGACCTCGCAACACGGCGGGATCAATTTACCGGGTACTGATACTTCTTAAGGATAATCCCTTACATGGTAGACATTATTCAGCGTGAGTATCATACAGATGACATGAGTCTAGTCCCGCGAAATTGATGTTACTTCTCCCCTCGCTCCTCGAGTCGACATCGCTTTAGAGTCCAAGGTTGGTACCGGTATAATTTCGGATGGAAATTTGAGCAATTTACCGTGACGTGTATCCCACCTGGGACACCTTAAGTCACAACATCTTAAGTCTGCATCCTGCACACTGTTCTGCTTGATTAATTATCGAATTATATCAATACTCAATGTCTTTTGAGGATTTTTCAAGATACTTCACTTTTGATAAGATTTTTTTGCGAAAACTTTTAAGCATTTCTTGATCCACCGTCTCGATCAGTTCAAATTTTAATACCCTAGAGACACGTTGAAATAATTTCTATATTCATCTGCGACATATTGAAAGCGCAACAATTGCACAAATTTTTCTCCGAAATCACATCAGCCTCAACAGTCACACTTGGACAATACAATTAAATATATTCTTTTACTTTCTTTCTATCTGTCACTATTCTTCTCACAAGTTCAATTCGTTTTCCGAAGCTCCAGGTATAACGAGACGGGATGAACGTTAAAAAAATGTACACGTCTAGTAAAGGCTATTCGATGATTTATAAATATTAAAAAAACCGCTGCCGCGTGTTACAAACGTGCGAGGAGAACGAAATCGCATTCTATGTTCTCTCCCTTTTTTTCCTCCTGCGTTATTTGCTGTTATTCGTGCGCTCGTGTGCATCGTCTCTAAACGCATCGTTCTTTCCTTGTTTTTCTTTTTTTCTCTACGCTTCACTTTGTTGCGCGGAAACGAAGTCTTCGGTTCGACTGTCTCGGAACGCTGCCTACGAAGGTGACGACGCCGTCGATTTTCGTCGGGAATTGGTAGGTTACTTGTGGTTCTGCGGTGCCTTATAACCCATCGTCGTTGACCAAACGACCAAACGAACAAACGATGACCACGGGTGGAAGCGGAAGTCGGAAACAGTGATGTAGATGATGGCTTTAGTTGGTCCCGAACATGAGTTAGTAAAGAATTGTGCAAGAATTGTAATTACTCGTGATCTCAACTGCCGGTGTGTCGCCTGTCTCTTCCAAAAAATCATCGCATGTGGCCGAATTAATCGTATAGCGATTTTTGCAACTCAAATTTGCACGTACATATTAAGTTGTAACACATTAAAGAAAATAATGTTGAATCTATTATTTAACAAAGAATAATTAAAAGAGATTAGATCTGAGAGATCATTAACAATACTATCATTACGTTTTGTTTTCGCATTTCTCTCTCTCTCTCTCTCTCTCTCTCTCTCTCTCTCAGCATTTTGGCGAAGGTTGTTTAAAATTGATTGAATTTTAATTGATTGAAAAATTGATTTAAAAAAATTTTAATTGAAAAATTGATTTTGATGTATTACGTCAATATGTATAAATTCCAATTTCGATATCCAGAAACGCGATTCTCGAATAGTGTCAGTGATTAAGCGTAGGCGACATTATTTCGAATTATTGGCAACGACGCGGGCTTGAATTAATGACCAATCTGCGAGACAGTAATTATAATCATTGCACAAGTCCACTCCAAGAGTCGCGCATCGAAACGTGTCGACCGTTGCGTCACGGATCTCAGCTCATGGTAACACTTGCGCGCGTCGAACATAATATACTCTTCCTCCCTCCCTGTGTTTCTCCCACACTTGATTTCGCGTCTTAACTATTATGGACTACCTATTATTTAACCTATACGGTCCTATAACGTACGGATCAATTATGTCCCGTGGCAGTTTATTTACAGTGCGGCTCGCGCCGCGGCCCCGGATGTGTGATCGATTCATGTGATCGATTTATGAACGACGATTCGACGTTGTTGGTGACTGGCGCGTCGCGACTAAGAAGAAATCATCAGATTCGTAATCTGACATAAAGAACGTGGAATAATTTACGCGAAATTATTTCGGTGAAATTATACGCGAAATTATCTCTTTCACGGCGAACGATTGTCGAGAAAATTACGTGGAGCCGGTCTAGTAATCACTTGTCCCTGCATATAACCGATAATTTAATAATTCACGAGCATCGCGCCGTTCAATAATTTAGCTCCGGTGCCCGACAGCAAGCCGTGAGCCGCGGCCCGGCCGCATCTACCTTAACGTCGTTTATTTACAGGAACAGCACGATCATGTAATTGAGATATCTGGCGCTAGTGGTACCGTTGAGCTTCGTGCCGCCGTTCTCCTCGTCGTTCTCGCTGGCAGTGTCGCCCTTCGCCTCGACGATGGTGTCAAGCCTCTCCATCGTGCCCCTCTGGGGAAGATGGTTGCTCGAGCTCTCGCTCTCGGGGGTCTCATCGGAGTCGACGTCGATCGACCTGTCGTTCACTTGGATCTTCACCACCGCGTCCACCGGGTACTTGCCCTCGTCGCTGAAGGACGTGGCGCCCGTCGCCGAGCCGGATCTGCCTGCCGCGGACGCTGCGGTGCCGGCGGCCTCTCGCTCGCAACGGGGACAGATCTGACCGTTGGACGAGCCCTCGTCGCTCTGGCACCGGAAGCAGATCAGGTCGCCCTCGCTGGAGAAGTCGCAGTGCTCGCAGTGCACGTAGCCGTTACCACGGCAGAGCTCACAGATCGGGCTCTCGTCGCGGTCTGTGAGTAGATCGACAGGTTAGGACGGCGGTTCGTCTCGCGTGGTTTGCTACGATCGTCGCCTTCCTCTGAGAGCTACCCCCGACGGCGAGCAGTCGTCGCCGCCGCGGAGGTTGTGCGAAGCGTCAGCGAGGAAATGCAAGCGGCGGGTGGAGTCGCTAGTGCGGGTGAGAAGAATGATGTTGTTTATGCTGAGATAAGCAAGTGTAGTGACGGGCTTTTGGAAGAGAGCACCGTGGAATGTTTGACAGACTAAAAAGCAGGTAAATGGAAAAATACTGTGTGACCTTAGCTCGAATTTGCGGTGTTATCAAAAGAGAAGAAACTACCTTTACTTCCGCAAGCATCGCTAAGAAACAGAACTGCTACATTGGATGATAATTCCAGTGGATCTTGCTTCAACGAAATTTGGAAATTAATCAATTTTTATGAAATTTTTCATAAGAGAGGATTCAAGGAAGGATTTCAAATCGATAAAGAGCATGAGGCGACACGGGAGGGGTCAGGGGATGATTTTGTATACCGGAGTAACGGCGAGGAGAATCAGCCATCTGGGAATACTGAAGCCATCCAAACGGGTTAAGCAAAGCGAACGAATTTGTTCAATCCTTCGACCAGAATTGGTCGAGGTACTCGCCTCTGTCGACGTCACCTCGATCGTCCGTGTCCCTCGCGGTCCATCCGCGCCGTTGCTGCTCCTGGCCTCGGTAAGATCGAGGTGACGTGATCAGCGCCGGCTGTTCCGGATCATGATACGACCGAGGCGATGACGTCTGAGCCACAGGATCCTGATCCGCATGGTAGGAGCGTGGAGAGGACAGCTTCACCGGGCTTCTGTAGGCACGAGAGGTTCCTGGCTCCTGCAGTCGGTCGTCCACCCGCTCTTCCACGTATCTGCCGCCAAAGGAGCCAGGCGTTTGCGGTCGGTAGGTGCAGGTACGCGTCTTCTGATCACACTCGCTGCACAACAACAGGTTCGACTTGCTGCCGGGCTGCGAGACGTAGCCGTTGCAGGTACCGTAGTAACGCTCGTCCTCGTCGCTCTCGAAGAGGTGCTGACTCAAGCTACCGATCGACTTCGTGTCGCTGAAGATCCTCGCATCGTCCGGCTCCTCTTGATCGTCGACGTTGTACCTGCAAACGAGATCGATTCGTTAGTAAACTCACGCTGAGTGTTATAGACACCGCTATCGTTTTATAACGCCGATAAACGCGAAAGTCACACGCTAACAGCCTCTTATATGCTAAAAATGTTGTTTACCACTTCGAGGCCCGTATCAATAATTGTTACTTGAAACTCGTCTTGTCAAATGAGATAATCAGATTTCAATTCAGAGTTAGGTGGAAGTATTGAATCGCGAGTACACCGACATAAATATCACATATATTATAATTTAATTTGAATTTGACTGTGTGAATAAAACTCTGAAAATTCTACATAAGGCAAGTTTTAAGTGGTAATTAGTAATACGAGGCTGATAAATTATAAAGTCGACTATTCATTCTTCCAATTAATAGATAAATTAATATCTATTCGTTTGAATACCGAGTAAAGTGACGTTTCCATCTATCTCTGGAGCGTATTCTAGAAACAAGCAAATGTCTTGTCGACTCACCTAGTATCAGTGGCTTCGACAAGGTAGCGACGTATCCGCTCGATCTTGGTCTTGCCGCGCTCTCGCGGCATTGTTTCTCGTTAAATAATGCTCTCCCGATTCCTCTCATTGTTATCCTCGACGCTCGAGGTCGAACTCGCCCCGCAAATCTGCATCTCGATTTCGGCCAGCCGATGTTCGACTTCCCACTGCTGCTGGTTCAGCTTGATGCTCATCGTCGCGTTCTCGGTTTCCAGGCATTTCAGGCGCTCGCGAAGACGCTGAATCTCTGCCAGCAGTGCCTCGTGGGTGCCGAACAAAGGCGTCGCGCCCTCGCTCACCAGCTGGGTCATGCTGTTGCAGGTCATGCCTGCAAATAAGTCTTCATTGCGATGTTTCTTTCAAAGTGATCTTTTAATTCCAGTCTGTTACATCTAGTAAATATCAAGCTAATGAAACGTGCGAGGATGAAAGTGCATGATATGAATTCGTGAGATCTCTCTCTCTCTCTCTCTTTTTCTCTCTCACTCTCTTTCTTTCTCTGTCTGTCTGTCTCGTTGCGAACCCATTTATTCCACATTCTCCTCTGTCTCTCACACAAGGGGATCGCGTTTCAGCGAGAGAGACGCGTCGCACAGACGCGAATATGAATCTTCGCGCTTTAGTACGCCGTGACGTTGCATATAAGTGCGTGCAATTATCGATTGCTGAAAGTTAGATGAGAGGCGCGGAAAGCAACAAACGAGTTTTGCGCGTAACAGCGCCGGCACGAATGCGAGAGATGAGATATTCTCGAATGAGAATCGCCCGGGCCTTTGTGATTCGCTGATGCTGATTAATACGCGCGATTAGTATTTCTCTCTTGCCACGGTGTATTCGAGCGTAATAGAATTCGCATATAAGATGAGCATGTACACTTCGCGTATAGCTTCGAGTGCTGATACAACGCATGAATTAGCATTAGCAAACTGCTAACTAATTTACGAATTACCGGGTGTGTCCTATATTCCGGCTATTCAGGGGCTCGGTATTGTCTGGGGACTCGTCTTGATCGTGTCACATCCCGTGTTAACACTCGAACGGCCCAGGGAGAGACACGGAGGAGCGAGAACGAGGGACCGCGAGAGAGAAGGACGGACGGGGCGCCGGCGCGTTTGCGGGCTATTTAAACGCATATGCCTCTCTTCCATGACCCATGAATCAGGCCTCGCCTGATATTTTGTCACTTAAATCACCATTTGACCAGGTCGATCCGTTTCCGGTTTGTTATCGCGGCCGGCCAAATCTGTCGATTTAATCGGGGACCGCTTTCTCTCTTTCTTTCTCTCTTTCTCTCTTGGAACTCCCGGGATGCGCGCTCGAAACGGAAGCGCGCGATTACCATGGCGTTTCCTGTGCGCGAAGGCTGGATTTTATTTCCCAGGCGACATATAAACGTCCGTGGAAACACGTTAAATCGTTACTACCTAACGTATCTATTGAGGTTAACGGCCGATGCGCTATTTTACGAGTGGCGCCGAGCGTCGCTCGTCATTCATTATCCGCGCGATATTTCTGAATTTACCTTTTCGCCGTTTTATAGTGTCGATAAACGCGACCGTTTGCACACACGCTCGCGTTATTCACGTCCGGTTAGATTTGATTTGCAATGAAGTCGTTTTTTTCTCCCCTCCCCCCCCCCCCT